GACAAAGCAGTACAAAGGAAGAAAGCCAAAGGCTACTGTTATTGAACACCACACAAAACAAAGGCTTACTACTTAAACTTAGCTACTACCAACCAATTTAAGAAAAATAAGGAGTCTTATCCAACAAGACAACTAACTTTAATTAAGCAATATCTGATTTGGATTAGGATTAATTAACAAGTAATAATAATAAAACTCTAATAGCAATAAATAAATAATAGGAAACTTAGAAAGTTTGGGACAAACTCCAACTCTCTCTCTCTCTTTCATCTTCATCGTTCCACAATTCTACTACTTTTTTTTGCCTTTGGCCTTGTTTATTGGTTTGATTTTATTCTTTAAGGCAAAATAGGGTTTTTTTTTTCTTGTTCCTTGTTTACTGGTTTAAGGGAGAAAGAGGTTTTGGAGCAAAAGAAGTAGAGAAAGGAAAAGATAAAAACAAATTTTGGAGGACAAAAATGAAAGAAAAGAACTTGAGATGAGATGAATATTTTTTTTTTTTAAGATTTGAGTGCAAAAATGGATTTTATCATTAAATTACTTAAATGAGTCTCAAATTATAATCATTATATCAATTAAGCCCATGAACTAATTTTTGGATTAGTTGAGGTCCTAAACTTGTTAATTTGAGTAATTTAGTCCTTCCGTAAACATCTGTTAGTTTTTTTTCGAATGAAAGAGTTACGTGATAACCACATGGATAACACGATAGGGGTGTTTTAGGCAAAACAAACTAAACACAAAGAGTAAACTACATAAATGACCCTCAAATTATAACCTTGTGTCAATTAAGCCCTCCGATTAATATTAGTGTCAATTAAGCCATGAATCTTTGTAATTTGAGCAATTTTGCCCTTTAGTCAACAATCTTTAGTTTTTTTTAATGGAAATAGGGGAACTGTGTTGCTCACGTGATATTGCAGGGACATTTTGCTAGATTATATCCAAAGAATAGTGGATCATGAAGCTAGATTACACCTTAAGAAGAAAAATATGTAAAAATTACACTCATATGATCACTAATGTTTGATAATAGAAGTAAATACAACCCACAACCAAAATCCACACATATAATAAAAAATATAACACAAAATCCACACTTATAGTACATCTGATCTGGATGAAGTATAACATCTACAACATGTATTGATCACTCCATTGTTGATGGTGAATGACAGAAATTCTATGAATAAGAGATCGATCAACGAAATTCTTAGGGTTTCCTAAAATTCAAGATTTTTCGTTTAATTTGTTTGCCTAAACTACTCGTCCTGTTTTGTTGTCCATTGGGTTATTGCGTGACTCTTTCTATTGAAAAACTAACAAATTTTGACTGTAAGGGTAAAATTGTTCAAATTAACGAGTTTAAGGGCTTAATTGATAAAACAATAGTTCAGAGACTTAATTAATAGAAGAATCATAGGTTAGGGATCATCTGTGTAGTTTACTGTTTGTATTTAATTTGTTTTGCCTAAAATACTCATGTCCTGTTGTTCACGTGTTTATTACATGACTTTTTTTGTTGAAAATTCTAACAGCTGTTGACGGAAGGGCAAAATTGTTCAAATTATCAAGTTTAAGGGCTTAATTGATACAAAAATTAGTTTAAAAACTTTATTAACACAATGGTCATAGTTAAAGGGCATCTGTGTAATTTATTCTAATTTTAATTTTATAAAGTGAATGTAAATTTGTAATCAAATTATTAATTCTATAAAGGTTGCTTGATATGTGTTCTTTTCATTAGTCCTTCGAAATCACAAAAATATCTTAATTTATTTACTTAAATATATATCTATACTAATAAGATAGAACCTAATTTGAATCTTTTTCCATTTTAAAATTTAATTCAATTTTAATTCATTTGGGAAAGCACAAGGACGACTCAGATTGAATCCACTTTTAATTCAAAGGCCCACATTTCATCTCACTTTTTCCATTTCAATCCAATGGCTTGCAATGCATCTCAACCTAAAAAAAAATCCCACCCAATAGAGCTACACCCACGGTAGCCCCAACCAACCCAATTCAAACACTCTCCTTTTCTCTCTCTCACCTCTCGCTCCTATCTATACTAATAAGATAGAACCTAATTTGAATCTTTTTTCATTTTAAAATTTAATTCAATTTTAATTCATTTGGGAAAGCACAAGGACAGCTCAGATTGAATCCACTTTTAATTCAAAGGCCCACATTTCATCTCACTTTTTCCATTTCAATCCAATGGCTTGCAATGCATCTCAACCCAAAAAAAATCCCGCCCATTAGAGCTACACCCACGACAGCCCTAACCAACCCAATTCAAACACTCTCCTTTTCTCTCTCTCAATCTCTCACCTCTCGCTCCTATGCGGAAGAAGACCCGACTCAAGCCCCTCGCTTTTCAAGTACCCCTCTCTCTCTCTCTCATGACTCAATCGAACACACACATACACACATATAGATACACACCCACACATACATTGCACTCACCCACCCACCCACCCACCTATACACACACACACACACACAGAGCAGTAGCAACAGCAACACACACAGAGACAATATCGCACACAACATTGAGTGTTTTGTATTGGTTTGATATTTTTGGGTATTTTGCACACACACACACACACACACACACGGACCAGTAGCAGCAACAACAAACACGTAGCAGCACACACAACATTGGGTGTTTTGTATTGGTTTAATATTTTTGGGTATTTTGTAACTTTTCAATGAATTTTCTCATATTGGGTGTTAATTTGGGTGTTAATTAGGATTTTTCATAGTTAGGGTTTTGTAGTTGTTAATTTCCTTCCTATTTTAGTTCTTCTTACAAACGAAAATTTTTGGGTGAAGAGCATAATTTTTTTTGGGATGATCCTATTTGGTTAAATACTATAAGGATCAGCATATGTGTACCTAATCAAGATTGATCATACTTATAATCAGTTTCAGAGAAACATCCCCACTCACATTTGGTATAAATTAGTTTCAAAATGCGTGTTTTTGAATCCTTGTGATGAAACTGGAGAACGAGTTCTATAAGCTACGTGCTCACCCTTTTATGGCATTGGCCCATTGGAATCGGTGTTTCACTTGATGGGTTTTTTCATCCTTTATTTACGCCAATCTAGAATATGTTAAACTAGCTGTGATTCATTTGGGGTTTGCAAGAGCATAACCTTCATTGTTACTCCAGCATTTGTGCACTCATATAGTTGAGTATCTTAGTTCTTTTATGCTAAGCTAATTGCATTTATCATTTCATTAAAGTAGATCAATGTGTAAATTACATAGGAGGTGCACCTAATAAGCACACATAAGTGATCAAGTATCTTATTTAAGTTGGTTGTCTTTATGTTTTGATGCAAATACATGGTAAATTAATTGTGCTTTCAGTTTACTAACTCTTATCTATTTGTAGTTTTAAGTTGGTTGCATTCTAAATTATCTAAGCTTTGGATGTAATGGATCAAAGCACATTTTTTAAATGTAAAATTAGTAGGGTTCCAAGAAATGATTAAGCACCATTATTGTAAAAGGGCTTTTGTGATTGATTTTGGTTAGATGGTTATTGGTGTGGTCACTTGAGATTTTTTTTTTAAATAAGAAGTGAGTTTCTTTTCAAGTTGTGGTTTATAAACATCTTTAATATGTTGTTGACGAGAATTAGGGTTACGTGACTATGTACAGTGTTGCGTCAAAGGGTTTTTGCTTGACTCCTCCTTTGAACCCTCACTTTTTTTACTGGTAGAATTACCTTCATCACACTTAGACCTAGTATTGTCTTTTGACTGTAATCGAACTTTATAAATTTTAAATACTCCGTATTGATTGCATTAAACTTTGAATCACGTTATCAAAAACTTGACTTAACATGTGAATACGAAATCTGTTGATTTTTTTGTTGCGACCTTTACATTTGATTTTAGTTATTGTAAATTATATTATTTGTTGCATAGTTTAAGTAACTCAATCTTGAATAGAGGATAACTCTTCATTTGGCAAATCTTGATGTGAAGCTGTTTTAGGTGATGTTTTTAATCATGCATGTGTTGATATTGTGCGAAATGCTATGGAATCGGAGCAGCACTGGAGCTTAAACTGTCATAAAAGTCTTGATTTTTTTTTTTAATCTTTTTTTCTCTTTTTGTTATTATGTTATAAATGTTATTTTGGGTATAAAATGATGTTTGCTATGGTAGTTGGTTATGTATTGATGATTGTGGTGGTATGGTGTATTATGATGATTGTTATGTATGATTATAAATTTTTTAGACATGTTTAGATTTTTTTGAACTTCTACTTTTAGAGGAAATTTTGCCGGAATTTTTGGAAAATAATAGGGATTAGTTTGATTTTAATTTCTTATATTAAAGCAAAAGAAGTAAAAATTATTTCAAAATTATTTTCAATTTTGAGTTTTAATTTATTTTTTTGTTATCCCGTACTTTTAGACACGAACAATTACTGGTATATATATATATATATATATATATATATTAAATTACTGTTTTTTCAGAGCCCGACAAGCATTTTTGCCACTCACAAGTTATATCTCTGCGATACGTAATGGGCCAATATTTTGTTGAGTTAGGCTTGACGCAGATTCAAACAAGATTCTATAATTTAATCAACTGAGCTCCCGTCATCTACTACACCCATGCACACACGATTGCAGTGATTAATCACCCTCAAATCTCCCAATAATCGCTCACTATTTTTTTAAATTAATTCAATAAAATTATAATTTAACATCAATCTTTTTTATAATTATTTATCTAACTTTTCAAATAATTATATATAAAAAAAATAAAAAAAATTGCGAATTATAATTTCGTTGCACTGCACGGCGGACCGCTTGGGTATACCTTTGCATATGATCTCCTGATTCTCCTGGATATCCGATGTATTTTGTTTTCACTGCAAAGCAGCAAAAACCGCGCAATTAAACTGTATAAACGGCAACGTTTCGTGAGCCCCTAAGCAAAAGTTGATCATGATCAATCCCAAAAATGTCGGTATAGAGACACGTGTCAAGATCATCGCGTCCATCAAACCCTTCACCGCAACATACTTTAATGGCGATAAAGGCCCACCATCCCGTACTTTCCGACATTAAAGTAGCCCCATTTTCTCCATCACCGGTGCTACACGATCTCTCTCTTCACCACCTCACAGCTCCTTTAATTCAAACCCTTCGCTGCGTTACAACAAATTTGAAAGGAGAGCTATTTTGGAAGCTTATCTCTCTCTCTCTCTCTCTCTCTTCTTCAGTCTCAGCCAAATCTTCTGCTCGAATTTAACGGTGTACAAAGATACAAAGCTCAAATGTACAGATGGCGATAAAACGTCACTACTAGACATAACTCACCGAAGTCCTTGAACTTCAAGGGTCACAAAGGCGTCTTTAAAATGAAGTTGTCTGAGCTTTCTCAGCTCCAAACAACTCCCATGGCGAAGCACAATGGTCGAGGCAAAGCGTCGTCGTTTCTCTCCGATAGCTTTCTCTTCGGCGGTGGAGCTATGGTGGCTCTTCTAGTTGTTTGGACTCTCTGGTCTTTCTTTAGCCCAAGTCCTGACCCTAACGCCAGTTTCTCCACTACAGGCAGTGAACCCAAATCCATCATTGCCATGGAAGATGCCGAGAACGTCTCTCCACAAGATTGCGCCGTCAATGCGCGGGGTTTTAACATGCACTACGACCCACCGGAGACCACGTTCTACGACGACCCCAAACTGAGCTACACCATTGAAAAGCCCGTTAAAAACTGGGACGAGAACAGAAAAGAATGGTTGAAGTACCACCCCTCATTCGCCGGCGCTGGCGCAAATAGTCGGGTCCTCATGATCACCGGTTCACAATCAAAGCCGTGCAGAAACCCAATCGGCGATCATTTACTGCTGAGATTCTTCAAGAACAAGGTCGATTACTGTCGAATCCATGGCTACGACATCTTCTACAACAACGTGTTGTTACAGCCGAGGATGTTCACATTCTGGGCAAAAATTCCGGCAGTTCAAGCCGCCATGGTAGCTCACCCAGAGGCAGAGTGGATTTGGTGGGTCGACTCCGACGCTGCTTTCACTGACATGGACTTCAAACTCCCATTAGACCGATACACAAACCACAACCTCGTCATCCACGGCTGGCCCCACTTGATCTACGAGGAAAAGAGCTGGACCAGCATCAACGCCGGCGTGTTCTTGATCAGGAACTGCCAGTGGTCGTTGGATTTCATGGAAGTGTGGGCCAGCATGGGCCCGCAAACCCCAAACTACGATGAATGGGGTAAAACCCTAAAATCAACGTTCAAGGACAAGATCTTCCCGGAATCCGATGACCAGTCCGGTCTGGTTTATTTACTGTTGAAGGAGAGAGAAAAATGGGGAGAGAGAATATACGTAGAGAGCGAGTATTACTTCGAGGGTTACTGGGTGGAGATAGTGGATACGCTTGATAATATCACACACAAGTACGTGGAGATAGAGAAAGAGGTGCCCAGGTTAAGGAGGAGGCATGCTGAGAAGGTGGCTGAGAGCTATGGCGCGCAGTGGGAGGAGCATCTGAGAGATGCTGGGTACGGGAAAGGTAGTTGGAGACGACCGTTTATCACGCACTTCACGGGGTGTCAGCCGTGTAGTGGGGCCCACAATGAGATGTATTCTGGGCAGAGTTGCTACGATGCGATGCAGAAGGCCTTGAATTTTGCTGATAATCAGGTGCTTCGCAGGTTTGGGTTTGTGCACCCGAATCTACTGGATTCCTCCTCCGTTGAGCCTCTGCCTTTTGATTTCCCGGCTTGATGGGGGTGGGGTCATGATCAGAGGTACAATTTGTTTTGTAAAGTTACTACGTTTGTATACGATGTATGTTTGTTGTAACATACTCTGGCACCGAAAGAGGATAATTGGGTGCTTCTATTTTTTTTTATAGTTGGTGTCCTCAGTCCTAATTTTAGACTTAATTATGTGTGATTTTGTGGATATTTGATGAAGGGATGGATTAAGGGGTTGTAATTTTAGAATCCAATCTTATATTAAGCTGAGTTGTCAAAAGTATTTGGTATTATGTATAAGCTTACACACTATATGTATACAAATATTATGCTCTACTCATATTATTGAATCAATTATAATATCACCGGGAGCAGTAGCAGCAATGATATTATAATTTAGTTTAAATTATTTTATCCACCAAATAAATAGAAATATAAATAACTAAACTAGATGGATAGTTAATAAAAAAAAAGATTTATATTTTTTGGTTAATATGTAATTAGTACTATGGGATAAGTGAACTAGCCAAACATAAGTTTGGTTTAATTTTGTATTTTATTTGCTTTTACATAATTAATCTGAATTATCTAATATAATTATTTTTTTTACACGATAACCAAACGAGCCCTAAATTTACTTTGTTGATAATCTTTGGGTAAATATCTCCGGGTTTAATACAATATTTTTTCCATTCATCCATGTGTTTTTTAGGCTTGAAGTAAGAACGACTTCAATCCACTCTCTACTTCCTCTTTTTTTAGCTATTTTAGCTAATCAAATGCTAAAAAAACTTCCCAACCCATCATCTATCCCACTTTTTATTTCTCATTTCACCAAAATGGCTCTCCAATTGTGGAAAGCCATTCAACCTCTCCAAATTCTCTCTCTACCTCTTTCTCTCTCAATATATATATTGCAATCCCTTTTAAATTATGAGAAGTTAGTGAAAGTTAGGTGAATTAGTTAATTAAAATAGAGAGTGTGATTGAAGTGAACTTATAAAAGTGACTCTCTAAAATAAAGAATGAAATATTTAATTATATTTTTAGTAACTAAAATGGATCACTAACTCTAAATTGACATGATCACCCATATATTACTAGGATAAACAATGGTTAAAATTTTCAAATTTAATTTTTAAATCTAATTTTTAAGTTCATCTAACATTACTCGTCTTATAAAAGATTTAAACTTGACATCTCTAAGCGTATTAATGACTATTAGAGTGTGATCATGCTGAAATCCAGTGAGATTCATTCCATATTTTCATATTTACATCCAATATGCTAAGTTTTTTTTTGGAACAAGTAAAATAAGCTAAGTGATGTGAACTGATTGGAAGTGGATACAGACAACTCCACGGTATAAGCAACTAATTTTGAAGCCTAAATATTTTTACATGTGGCATGAGCTTCAGGATTCAGCTCTCAGGCTCAATAGCACTGAACTGAAAATAACAGACACATAACTCCAGGACTAACTTAAATGTTAGTATGGATGACTTAAAAATTTTGATATCTTGAATTTAAATTTTGGTAACTTCTTGAAACTAGATTATGAGATATTTATTCATCATGAATATTTTAATTTCGACGTGGATGATCTGCTTTTGACTGAACTGGAGAGAGAATTAATCGAGTTGCACATAAATTGACCCAAACACACTTCACAAGTTAAACCCCCCCCAAAAAAAAAAGAGAAGAAAAGAAAAGAACAGACACATAGTAGGGACAGAATTGACAATCAGTGGAAGGGTTTAAAGATGTGGAATAAGGGTGATCATAGTGTTTAAACTCTGGTTATTAATTACAATAACCCTTATTTATTTCATTTGGTCATTGTACAATACCCTTTTATATTTTATCAGATACTCTGCTTTGTTTACCCTTCTGCTTTTCCTTTTCCTTTTCCTTTTCCTCTTTCCTCTTTCCTCTCTTTCACTTTACATGTAAAAGCATCTTCTCATGCTTTGCTTTTCCTGGTGCTCAAGCATTGCGTGATTAGAGGTTGATTCTCCGCTTATTAAGGTCTCATATGTGATGGATGCATCATGTTGTTGGGAGATTCCTTTTTGTGTAGTAAAAGCTTGTTAGATAGATAGCATTACTAGATTTGACTCATTTTGGCAACAGTTTGAAATTATCCCTCCCCCCCAAAAAAAAAAAAAATATCCCCCAACAAAAAAAATAAAATAAACAAAAAATTGTTGCTATCTTAAAAGTGGGTAAATTTTGTATGCTTCCACGCTTATGCTCGTCAAGAATATAATAAATAATCTTGTTTCCTTCTCATGTATCCCTCAGAAGCATACATTATAATTGGTTGGCTCTGAAAAGACAAAGTTCAAACAACTTTAAAGGGTAAAATTGTATAGCTACCGAACAACTATGCCATAAATTATGAGAAGGTTGATTGGTTATGGTTATGGTGTCGATGTTAAGGGTTGGAGTCATGGAGATAGCCTCTACATTCGTAGAGACAAGATTACGTGTATTTTATTCTCCTTAGAGACTCGTGTGCTAGGTTAACCTTTTTCTTTTCTCTTTTTATAATGACCTATTGATTTATTTGATTACTTATAACAAACCAATGACAAGTGGTGATCAGTACATCCTTTGGTGATGACCTCTTAGGCTTTAAATCCATGGAACCATGGGAAATTCCAAAGGCAAAATATGTGCAAAATCACAGGGAACTAAAATATATCCTCTGTTTTGAAAGTGGGGATTGCCATATGCAATAAACCAGACAGTGTCCCAGACCCTTGTTGAGAAACCCAATCTCATTGATTTTTGAGTCAAGCATAGTTGGCAGTGTTAAATAGCTGCCTACCTTCTTATTCATTTAGCATGGAGTGCCATATGTTGTATTTGTTGCGTTGAATCCTATGTGACTTGGTCTGAACCTAGGGGAAATGTCCAGGTTGCTTTATAGTTTTGGTTTAATTGGTCTGACTGGTATATGCATATCCATATATATTATTATGATTTCGTAATTGCATTGCTGAACATTATTTTCTAAAGAGCTCATAATGCTTCAAGTTTTACAAGGTGGACTGGGAGCCCACTTCAAGCCTCCAATGGATTGAACTAATGTAAATATTTGTCTTGAACCACCATGATCCAACCCACCTTACACTGCAAATACCACCCCACAACCAGTGCTGTCACTTCCACTGATGCCACCACCACCCAACCCACTCATTCATCATCTCTATTAGAGTATAATATATACAATGAACCCATTTGAAACCCACTGGTTTTTTTTTGGGGGCAAAACAGAGTTTTGAAAAGTGAAATAAGCCAGGGTCCAAATGGACCAGACTTCTTTTCCTTTGAAACCGAAAAAAACTGAGGTTTGAAGCCAACTCCAATACAAGTTTAACATGGAAATCCAAAACAATAAGCTTAAGAAGTTTTGGAAACCATGGAAGCTCTTCAATGATTCAGCCATTCTTTTCTGGACTTGATCAAAATGATTGAAGACATTCGACAATTTGTATGACTTGACTGTGCAGAAGCAGGGAAAAGTCCTCTAGTTTATCAGTGCTTTTTCTTGCTAATAGTTCATCAGGGAATTATAAATAAAGGAAAAAGAGCTATATCCTACGTAAAATGGACCATGTGCTTATCTTCAGAGCTTATATCACCTTCAACACTAGCATAGTCACATTAGAAAAGCTCAAAAATATGGGAACAAGCTTGGACAACATTTTTACCTATACTTTAGTGCTAGCTCATTTAATAATATGATGGTTTTGTCTTCTTGTGTAATTTCTATAGAATCACTAGTGCAAAATGAATTTCTTTATATGGTCACGATGTTTGGTGATGGTAGGCATGGCAGAGAAGAATGCACCCGAGGAAGAGTGAAGAGAAAGTCAAGAGAAGCCCTCGACCTGTCAAATGGTTAAATCTCGGAAAAATTGTCACTTAAGTAACTCGAACAACCAATTATATAGAATATGAAGCACTGGTTAGGTTTAGTCCACTTTTCTATACTTCATGTTGGATATCATCTGAAACATGTTTAATCAATTTAGATTGCAGCCGTTAAAACAGAATTAACATAGGGGAAGATTAGGGTATTGAAAAAAAAAATTTGGTACCATACCATTGTAAAGAGAGTCAACTTTAGATGAAGACCAACAAAGCCCGGGTATCGGCTCGTTTCCTCAAAGAAGAGCATAGGCTTGGCCCAATAGAGCGCATGTGAATCAGAATTGAGAAATTTGGAGGCCGGTTTCCTTATATAGATTTATTTGGAGATAAGTCCGATAAAGAGAATTATTTGATTTAAGTCCATTTTTTGTCAAATTTACTATTGTACCCCTACCTTTGAAAAAACAATAACCGACGTCTGACTTACCATTTCCTTCATATAAGTTAGATCATTGAGACATATATGAAAACCTTTAATTGAGTTATATATAGAAACCGTTTATTAAATATTATGATAATTAACAAAAATTTTATATGGAAGTTATATATTATGTTAGTTATACATGAAAGGTTGATGTACGAACAAATCGTTGGTCTATTAAGTCAAAATCAGATTATAAAATTTCCTTAACAATTCAAAAATTCCTTAACATTAGTGTTACTAAAGTGACACTAATTTTACTATAGTGACACAGATGAGATTGTTTTCCTTAAAATACTCAATAGCCAAAATAAAGAATTCCACCATTTCAAATAGTAACACAAACTCAACCCCAATTTTCACTTACATTATCAATTGTAAACCTTTAGACGTATATTATATAACATACACATTTAATTTTCATAGTAACATCAAAGGTTTGTGCTCAGTAACATATCGACTTTTACAAAATATAAAACAATAGAGTTTTCATAACATCAATTTTCGAAAGATTATAATGAAAATACGATCCACAAATTGAAAATTTACAAAATTTTTAGTAGTAACACACCATTAAAAATTGAATTAGGACACTCAACACCAATCAAAAATATCAAGACATTTAAATTCTAAAATTCATTTTTCAATTATCACACAGTAACATGATCTATTTCACAGACACACAATCAAGGTATTTTGAATGTTTTGCACAACAAAGAAAACAAAAAAATTGAATTATATAACACTTTAATTTAGTAATAATGAATCTCAATTTTTAAATTAGGAATGCAAAAAAAAAAAGAGAGGATAGTTTGAACTATAAATTATGTAGAAGTTTTTTAAAACCTTATAATGAACATCAACTTTCATGTAAAATCACATACCTTAACTCTATTTCTAAATCCCAA